AAAACTTTATTAAAATTAATTTGTTTTCTCCACTTTTGTACAATGAACTATTGAGCAAACTCACGAGCAGTCTCAAAACAAAGGGATCAATCAGTTCCAGGATTGCAAGCTCACTTCTCCAGCTCCCTCTCCAGCACCCAAACACACTATTCGGCACTAAGGAACTCCTAATTGCCCTCGCCCCTACAGCAACTTGACAAGTTTCTTCGCTGTCAAATCCCCAATATCTCTCTCCACTCCCTCGCTCAGTGTGGTGCCTTACCCTGTTTTTCCGAGAAAACTGAAACCTATGATTTCCTTCTTCTTCACATCAATGTTCCGGTTCACCCTGCTCCTCTCTGGTCTCCAAGGACATAATTGTCCTCGTTTCACCTGTCTGCCCTACCACGTTCCACTCCAAGTCGAACCAGTCTGATTCCTCACTTTCTTTCCCACTCTCTGCCCGCTGTGTGCCTTGGGCTTTTCTCCACTCACTTCTACTCCTGGCCTCCTCACCAGAAACGACTTCTTTCACTCATTTCCATATTCACACTACAGTTGTCCCTCAGTATGCGAGGGGGATTGGTTCCAGGAACCCTGAGGATTCTAAAATTCTTAGGTGCTCAAGTCCTCTCAAAGTGGGCCTGTGGGACCCAAGGCTGCGTGCAGAGTGAGGACTGTATAACAAACCTTCAAATTATGCACACAAGCACATACAATACAACATCGTATTCATTCTCCTCTCACCCCCAAAGCATGTAACGTGCCTCCTGTGGTGTGAATATGCGTTATCCTTCAAGTCTTTTTATCTGTGTTCTTCCCCCCAAATTATATTTATAGGCTATTTTAGGGCTGGAACTGTCTTCAGTCTCCCCAGATGGAAGAGTCTCCCATTTACAGTGACATTCAAATATTTTTTGATAATGGAGTGGTATTAAGTTTGCTCAAAAATTAACTTTTCTATGACCCCCCACAATACTTGTTACTATACTAAACATAGTGAACCTTTCATGTGCATTTATTTAATGTCTGTATTTTTCTCACCATTTATTCACACAAGCCTTATCTAATTGAAAGCAAAGTCTTCTCTTCGAGGAGGATTCTGCCCATTTACTTGTAATGGTAATAGGCAGTCACCTCAAACTGGTGTTATCTGGGGAGGATGACAGTTTAAAAATAGGGTTGAAAGCTCCACAGACAGGATTCAGAGAATCAATCCTTTAATACAAATATCTGAGGTCACCTGCAAAGATGTGTACATGTGCTACATTTTTCAGGGGAGCAAATCCATACTTTAATCAGATTTATTTCCCTCCTTAGGCCCTCAAGAGTAAGAATGACCAGTTTCCTCAAGTTGTTAAATATGGAATCACCAGATAGCCCAACAATTCCACTCAGATATATGCCCAAAAGAAACGGAAAACATATGTTCACACAGAACCTTGTAAACAAATATTCATAGCAGCATTATTCATAGAAGCCCCAAAGTGTAACTAACACAATGCCCACTGATGAATGGATATGCAAAGTGCGGCATATCCATACTACAGAATAGTATTCAGCCACAGAAACTAATGAAGTACTGACTACAACACAGATGAACCTTGAAAACATTATGCTGTGTGAAAGAAGCCAGACACAAAAAGCCACGTATTGTATGACTCCAAGTTTATATGAAATGCCCAGAATAGGCAAATCCATAGAGCCAGAGTACATTAGTGACTGCCAGGGAATGGAAAGAGAGTGAATAGGGAGTGACTGCTAATGGGAACTAGGTTTTTTTTTGGTATGATGAAAACATTCTGGAATTACAGTAGTGATGGCTGCACAACTATGTGAACATACTAAAAAACACTTTAAAAGGGTGAATTTGTGGTATTTGAATAAACAATAAAAACCTCCTCCTCCCCAGGAACATGCTTGACATCTTTCACATCATCCTTCTAAACCTAAACTCTAAGCATGCACACTAAAACTCAACAGTGCTCCCAGCCACCTCCTTTTTCTTCAGGTTCCTAATTTACATGTAGTTACTCAGGCTAGAAAATTTCAGAGACATTTCCAATCTCTTTTCTCTCAGTTTGAACATCAGTCGGTCATCAATGCCAGCACTTTTTTTTTCCAACAAAAAACTACATATTGTTGAAAATGTAATTCCTGTCAGACACTTACGCTAGATGATCTACAAGTATCTTTAATTTTCACAACAGTTCTGCATTTTACAGAGGAGAATGCTGTGGCTAAGGAGATTTAAGTACCTTGTCCTTCAGTGTTTCTTCCTCCAATCTATCCTCCATCCTTCAGCTGCAGTGATCTTCCTTAAAGCAGTGATCCCCTACCTAAAGCTCCTTAAAGGCTTCTCTCACAAAGTCCAGAGTCCCTAATTTGGGATAAGGTGCCTTCAGGATTCCTGTCTCTTAACATTCCTTACACCAACTTCTTTGAATTCCTGGACTCTGAGTTGCTCTTTCTCCTTCTGCCTCTGGGCTTGCCTCGGGGTTCCCTTACTCATTCACACGACAAATAGGTATTAAGAGCCCACTAGGAGTCTGACAGTGGAAACAGTGGCTGACTTTTTTTTTGGGCTCCAAAATCACTGCAAATGGTGACTGCAGCCATGAAATTAAAATACGCTTACTCCTTGGAAGGAAAGTTATGACTAACCTAGATAGCATATTAAAAAGCAGAGACATTGCTTTGCCAACAAAGGTCCATCTAGTCAAGGCTCTGGTTTTTCCAGTGGTCATGTATGGATGTGAGAGTTGGACTGTGAAGAAAGCTGAGCACCGAAAAATTGATGCTTTTGAAGTGTGGTGTTGGAGAAGACTCTTGAGAGTCCCTTGGACTGCAAGGAGATCCAACCAGTCCATCTCAAAGGAGATCAGTCCTGGGTGTTCATTGGAAGGACTGATGCTGAAGCTGAAATTCCAATACTTTGGCCACCTGATGCAAAGAGTTGACTCATTTGAAAAGACCCTGATGCTGGGAGGGATTGGGGGCAGGAGGAGAAGTGAACAACAGAGGATGAGATGGCTGGATGGCATCACCGACTCGACGGACATGAGTTTGAGTAATCTCCAGGAGTTGGTGATGGACAGGGAGGCCTGGTGGGCTGCGATTCATGGGGTCACAAAGAGTCCAATAAGACTGAGCAACTGAACTGAACTGAGGAGCCAGACATTGTATTGCTACTTGGGCAACATTGTGAATAAAACAGATATATGTACTGCCCTCAAGGTGTTTAAGGTCTAAGGGAAGACACAATAATAAACAAGTAGTTACAGACTGTGCTAAATGCAGGAAGCAGGATGCTGTATTACAGAACACAAACACGGTTAGGGATCAGGGGAAAACTACAATGACTGTTTTAGATGGGTTAATCTGGTAAGCTTTCAGATGGCGACATACCTTAAAATATGAAGACTAAGAAGCCAGTTATGTGAAAAGCAGGTAAGACAGAAGGGGTGATAAGTGACAAGAGGTGCTCCTAGAGACATCAGCAGAGCCCAGATCAAAGATTTCTGTAGGTCATGGTTAGGAGTTTGGATTTTAATCTAAGTTCTTACTGCAATGGATTTCATTGAAGGCTTTTAAGTAAGACAGTGTCACTTTTGCCACTGAATAGAGAAGGGTTGGAGGGGCACGAGAGAAGAAACGGGGACACATGGCCTGAAGATACAGCAGTGGTTTAGGTGAGAATTGTGGATGATTTGGACAATGGTGTGATGGTGACGGAGGAAAAGAGCAGATTAGATGCAGAGCTGACCTGACATGCAAAGTCATCAGCTCAAAGTGATGAAGAGATGAAAAGAGGATATACAGAGTTGAAGAATCCTCACTGATAAAAGAAAATAAGGTTACTACAAGAACAGAGGATCACAAGGTCTCAGGTTCATGCTGAGTGAATACTCAAGAGGTAGACTATTTTCATTTTATAACATCAACTTGCCCAGGACTTCTCCCAGCAAAGTTCAGCAATATAGGTTCAAGTGCAGGGGGCAAAAGTTTGGGTTCATCCAGAGTATGGGTTTTGTCAGAGGAGTAAAAGGCAAGCAAGGACAAGAGAATAGTGTATTTTCAAGAGAAAGATCAGAATAATAAACTCTGACATGCACTCTAAACTAGATAAGGGGATACAGATAGACAGAAAATGTAACAATGGGCTGGAGGTACAGATGAAGCTCAGGAACTGTCTCTTTGGGGTACATAAACAAGGGAGTTATAAAGGCAGGAGATTGTGGTCAGATAGTAAGAAATTGTAATTTGCTGATTCTGCTTGGAATGGTCAGCTCTTCCTCTAGACAAACATGACTATTTGATCACCAATCATATCCATCTTATGCTTTTCTGCTCCCTGTCTTCCCATGACTCACAGCTCCACCCCCAGCATAACCACCTAAGCTTGTCACTATTTCATCAAATGATAAAGGCCCACCTAAACTATTCCCTCCTTGAAGTATTTATCTTTTCCCCACTGGCATCTTTCCTGATGACAATCCTCACTCAGTATGCACTACTGAAGTATTCATTTTACCAAGCATTAGTCACTCTTTTGCCCTTCCAGACCCCTCTACTCAATTGGGGAAAGGCATTGTTACATACAGTCAAAGGTCTCTGGATCCGTGGCAGTACCCAGAACAGTGCCAGGCATGGAGCAATCATTCAAATCCTAATAGGGATCTTAGGCTCACCAACCTTCAAACCTTATTCGTTCTCTAAAGCAGGATTGCACTGAAATCATAATACTGTTCACTAAAGTCCAAGATAACCCCATGTGTCTCAAGAGTGGTTCAATCCACTGTAACCTTCACAACACCCTCAGGGGTGAAACACTTGTAGGATGGAGGGAAACTGGACCAGTCCATCTAAAAGCTGGGTGCCACAATTTGAACAAAGTCACGTTTATTAGAAAACAGTTTTCCTCATAGCTTACTGCTAGGCCTTAGAGACAAACGGTCATATGAGAGGTGTCAAGAAGACAGAGGATTACAACCTCTTGGTCTGACCTGCCTACTACCTACCTTCGTCCTCTCCACCTCCCGATGCAGAGTCCGCATTAGTGATCGTCCCGGGGCTCGCTGCCATGGCAAGCACTGCGCGGGCTCAGCCCAAACCAAAAGAGAAACGGAGCGGGAACCGGTCTGAGAGAGGCCAAAACTCTGGCGGTGAAGCCTCAGCACAGGAAGGAATCGCAGCGGTTGCTACCGGGCTCTTCCGGAAGCTGCCCGAGCGTGGACGTCAAGTGACGGGGAATGGGCGGGGCCACGCAGGTTTGTTTTGATTCAGGGGTGCTTGAAATGTATGCACGTGGTCTCGGTTGTGGCCCTTCTTACCTTCTCCAAACCGTTGTCTGCTTTTACTGAAGACGTTTCTTGGCTTCGCTTTTGCTTTTCCTTGTTTCTTAGTCAGGTCCTTCCTTTTCACCTTGGCGCTTTCCTCCTCCCAACGGTATTGGAGTTTTAGGGAATGGGGTGGTTTTTTTTTTTTTTTTTGTGGCGCTCAAGGCAGTGGAAGGTGGTGGCTCTATACCAGGAGAGTTCACGCTTCTCTTCCCCGTCTCTCCCCATCTCTCTTGTCCTTCTAGCAACAACAAGACTCCACCTGGGTTTCGTGGCTGCCGGGAATGTGAGCCTCAGGCTACCGTGCTTTAATTGCGTTCCTTGTGACTGATTTCCGACCCTGAACAAGCCATATCGCTTGACTTAGATTTTCAGGACACTAACCGTCAGCTGTCAGACGTCAGCTGTTTGGATTTGTATATCAAAATAAATGCAATTGTTGCCTGCTTGATCAAGAGATCGACAACTTCCCGTCTTCTCGTTTACTCTTCATTTAGTCAAAATCATAATAACTGGAGATGGATCTAGGTTATTTGGGGGCAAAAATCTTTCAGGTTTAATAAATATATCTTTATTGCCCTCCTAATAATGACAGGCTAAAGAGTAGAAAGAGATCTATATCTTCTATATATGAATTAAATTGACTCGTTTAAAATTTCCTCGTTGGGTATGTAAAGCACTGAAAAGTGTCTGATTAAATAAGACAGTACTTACTGTACATAAAAAACGATTTTCATGCGGCAATCTTTCCTACTGCGCGTCAGTCTTAATCTTCCGCTCTAAATTCTGAAGTTATAAATCCTTCAGAATTGAGAATTAACCCAATATAGAAACAAGCATTAGCTTAAGTGACGGGAGATCTTCGAGTTGTTTACTGGGCACATGACGTAAACTTGGACACTTCCTCCAACAATCCAGGTTCCTCGCCCAACCTCCTCTGTACAGCCTGTCCGGGAGTTCCCTTTTCCCCAGGCTCAGCGGCGCTCCTCCCGATCGTTCCAGCGCCTCCCGGTCCGCGCTCTGGGACCCCGGCTCCACTCCCTCTCTCGCCCAGGTTGCCTCTCCAGCCCCAGAAGACAGAGCACCTCGCGTCCCGCACCCCAGCCCCCTCCTCTCCGGTCTCTCCTGCCCCTCCTCCCCGCCCGGGTCCGGCTAGCGCGGCGCAGGCGCAGCAACGCGGCCAGGAGGCCCAGGGCGACCAAAGCAACCTTTGCCTCCGCTTCGCCCGGCAGTATCCCCGCGGGGCTGGTCGGCGGCCATCCGGACCGCGCAGGGCACTGGCCCCGCGGGCCGCGCGTCGAGATGGGCTCGGGCTGGAGCAGCGAGGAGGAACGGCAGCCGCTGCTAGGGCCGGGACTCGGGCCTGCGCCGGGGGCTGCTTGGAGAAGCCGGGAGGCGGCAGCGGCACTGCCCGCGGCAGCCCCGAGTCCTGGGCGCGTGTACGGGCGCCGCTGGTTGGTGCTCCTGCTCTTTTCGCTGCTGGGTTTCGCGCAGGGCCTGGTCTGGAACACCTGGGGCCCCATCCAGAACTCGGCCCGCCAGGCCTACGGCTTCTCCAGCTGGGACATCGCGCTGCTAGTGCTGTGGGGCCCCATCGGCTTCCTGCCCTGCTTTGCGTTCATGTGGCTTCTGGACAAAAGAGGTGAGGGGGTCCCGGGAGCTCCGGCCGGCGATGTTCCTCCTGGGGGAGCCGCCTCCCTCGACTTCGTCTTAGGGGTTATATGAGGTGATAGAGTGTTACTGGCATCCCATGCCTGACTAGGAACCCTCCGTCCCCAAAGCGACAAATAAGGGAAGATTTCTTTGCAGATACTGGTTTTTTGTTTGTTTTTTTGTTTGTTTTGTAAATCAAGTCCTATTATGCAACAGCAGGGATTAAGCGACTTTTGGATGTTCAAATTTCTGCATGTGTGGATATAAGAGCATCCCATGCACATGCTGTGTGTGTTTTCTACATCTGACAAAAATGACTGATGCTTTGACTTCAAAGGGGTTTGGGGTTGTTGAGGGTGACAGGCAGAAAATAGAATGATGATGCCCAGATACAAGGAAGTAATGAGTTGGCTTTCTGTAATAGATGACTCCAGCCCAGGAAGAGCTGTTGCGGAACTCAGGACCTGACGCTTTGGTTTCTGGAAAAGGGTGCACAGCAACTTTAAAGTGTGTGTATGTGACCAGCTGCAAGTGCCAACTGAGATTTTTTTTTTTTAATATTTATTCATTTATTTGGCTGCACCAGGTCTTTGCAGCGTGTGGGATCTAGTTCCCTGACCAGGTATCAAACCTGGGCCCCCTGCATTGGGAGCTCAGAGTCTTAACCACTGGGCCAGCAGGGAAGTCCCCCAACTGAGATTTTTAACTCTCAGATAAAGCTTACAGATGAAGACTCTCTTTTCATAGAGAATGCTCTAGACAGACGTCTCACTACCACTTGCCAGTGTGATTCTGTGAGAAAATGGTCATAGGATTGAATGTTAAGATGTTGAACTATACCACAAAAGTATGGATAAATGACTCATGACCAATGTGATGTACCTGCTAAAAAGTAGAGGACAATTTTAGGCACAGGAGTGTAGTATCTAAAAGAAGAGAAATAGTTTGGCATGCTTCTAATGTTCAGTTCTGGGCATTAATTTTTGAAAGGCCATTGGCAAAGTGGAGTCCTTTAAAAGTTGTGTGACAAGAATGTAAAGGGTATAAAAATCATAATATGTCAAATGAAGGGAATTGGGTGTGTCAAGCTTCAAAAAGAAACTTCAGGCAGGATATAAATGTGTGGAAATCAAGTAAATGAGGAATTAGACTTAATGTGCATAGTTCTAGAAGGAAGAACTAAACTGAATGAAGTTACAAGAAGCCGTAACTCAAAGGAATACAGGAAAGAACCATCTTACGATGAAAGTATCCAGACCTGGAAAGTGTGGAACTTCCACGCAGAGATATGTGCTAGTTGCTGAGAAAGTTTCTTGTACTGAATGGGGTTTTCTTTGTTTTGATTTTTTTGCTTTAAACTACATTAGACTTTATTTGGATTTTACTAGTTTTTCCACAAATGTCTCTTTTTTTTTCCCCCTGTTCTAAGATTCAGTCAAGGGTCCCAAATTACATTTAGTTGTTATTTCTTGTTAATCTCCTTCAATCTGTGACAATTCCTCTGTCATTCTTTACCAGGTTGGATAACTTAAGGGGAAATGCTATTTTATTGTTTCTTTTAACTTTTTAACAGGAGCATTTTTCAATATTATTCCATAAATTTAGCCAACTATATTTTTAAGGTAGAAAAATGCTAATTTTTGTCCTTTTTATTATAATTATATTCACTATATATATATAGGATAATTACACATATATAATTCCCACCCAACTTAGTAGAAGACCAGTTATCTTTCTGAAATTGCTTTTGTACTCTCTCACTTTTCATTTTCCAGCAAGGAGATAAAAAGGGACTACCTAGTGAGATCATAGAAGAGCCAAGAGTGGGTGTGTGCCCTGGAAGCCAATGAAGAAAATTTCAAGAAGGAGATAGCACCCAAATGTGTGCTGAGCTCTAGGGACATAGCGCTCATGGAGCCTACATTCTAATGAGGAGGTCCAGGCACCAAAGGACAGTAAAATTAAATACTTATAGTGTGTCAGATGGTGATCAATGTTTTAGAGAAAAATGGAAGTAAGGCAGGGGAGAAAGGGGATGTGATTGGGTGATACTTTATCTAGACTGTCAGGGAAGGCCTTACTGATAATGTGTGTTTGAGCAGAGACCTGAGGGAGAAAGGAAACACACCTTGGCAATTCTGGACAAGACTCTTTGGGACAAAGACAAAGGTCATAAACTTGTTTGACATACCTGAGAAAGATACATAGTAGAGAAATAAATTGTAGAAGGACTGTTGGGCAGCTCAGAGGGCCTACTTTAAGTGACTGGGCTTTAATTTCAAATGAGGCTTGTGTGGCTGAGTTGAGCCTCAAGGCCACCGTAAGGATGCTGGTCGTGAAGATGTGAGGAGGGCTCACTCTACTGGAAGGTTTGAGCAGGAGGGTAAAATGATGACTGTTAATATCTTGAGAACAAGAGTCACAGCAGGGAGACCAGTTGAAGGGGTAATGGACCAACTCAGATGGGGCTGGTGATGACTTCCAACTGGGGTGAAAGTAGTGAAGGACTTGAGAAGTGGTTGGATTCCAGATACATGTTGAAAGTAGACTTGCCAGTATTCTTTGATGGATAGGCAGAGGTGAAGTGTGAGGAATTTGGAGGATTCTAAGATCTTTCTCAACTTTTTTTTAGCATAAGTAATTGGGAGAATCAAGCTGCAGTTTACTGAGATGTAGAAGATTGTGGGAGGAGCATTTTGGGGGTAGATCATGAATCTGGCCTGCAGGTCAAGAATTTGAAATGCCTATTTGAAATAGGATAGGCTAAGCTGAAGAACTGATGCTTTTGAACTGTGGTGTTGGAGAAGACTCTTGAGAGTCCCTTGGACTGCAAGGAGATCCAACCAGGCCATGCTAAAGGAGATCAGTCCTGAATATTCATTGGAAGGACTGATGTTGAAGCTGAAACTCCAGTACTTTGGCCACCTGATTTGAAGAGCTGACTCATTTGAAAAGAGCTAGGAAAGATTGAGGGCGGGAGGAGAAGGGGACTACAGAGGATAAGATGGTTGGATGGCATCACCGACTCAATGGACATGAGTTTGAGTAAGCTCCGGGAGTTGGTGATGGACAGGGAGGCCTGGCATGCTGCAGTTCATGGGGTGGTAAAGAGTCGGACATGACTGAGTGACTGAACTGAACTGAGCTGAAACTGTCAGTTTATTGCCTGAGCAATAAATTTGTGTGTTGTCAACCTGTAATGATATTTAGTCAGAGAAGGCAATGGCAACCCACTCCAGTACTCTTGCCTGGAAAATCCCATGGATGGAAGAGCCTGGTAGGCTGCAGTCCATGGGGTCGCTAAGAGTTGGACACAACTGAGCGACTTCACTTTCACTTTTCACTTTCATCCATTGGAGAAGGAAATGGCAACCCACTGCAGTGTTCTTGCCTGGAGAATCCCAGGAATGGGGGAGCCTGGTGGGCTGCCGTCTATGGGGTCACACACAGCCAGACATGACTAAAGTGACTTAGCAGCAGCAACAACAGCAATGGTATTTAGTCTTGGAGCTGAGTGAGATCACCTGTGGAGAGGGATGTTGCTTCAGAAGAAGACAGCCCAGGGGCATTCCAACATTTAGAGCTTGGAGAGATAAGGAAGAACCAGCTAGTGAGGACTGAGAGTAGAGCCTTAGATTTAGCAACATTGAGATCTTTGGTGTCTTTTAAAAGAATAGTCTCATAAGAGTGGTGGGGGTAAGTTCAAGAGTGTAGACTTTTATGTTAAACACACTGTAAAGGGCAGCAGAGAAATGAAGGAGTAGCCGGGGAGAATGTGACTACTGAGAAGGTATTTTAAAGATAAGAGATATTAAAGCATTTTTCTGGAATGCAATGTCCTAATGGATTCAGAAGAAAGGGAGAAAATAACAATGTTAGAGGGAGGGGGAGGAACTGCCATAGCCATGTCCTTGGGTAAACAAAATGGGATGCAGTCCTGAAGAGCACAAGTAGGTAGGTTGGCCTTAGAAAGAAGTATTGACAGCTAATTCTTCAATGGTAATGGAAAAAATGATAGAGCGTATAGATTACAGATGCAGATGGTGGGTGCTAGGAGCTTGTGGGAGTCATCATTGTTTATAGTTCTCAGAAAATAAGAAACAGTATTGCCACTTGACAATGAAGCTAGGAGAACAATTCTTGGAAAATTGAAGAGATGTGATAAATTGTAATACTATTTCCTAGGAAAGGAGAGAATACACAGATTAGGAGATTGTAGTAGGATTGTTGGACAGCTCAGAGGGACTGCTTTAAGTGACTGGGCATTCATTTCAAGTGTGACCAGTTGTGCTCGCTTCGGCAGCACATATACTAAAAAAAAGTGTGACCAGTTAGCATGGTTGTGTGTCTCCCTCCAGCCTGTTCTGTTGGGCAAGCACAGGCATGGGCAGAGTTGGCGAAGAGAGAGATCACAAGAGGTGCAGTTTGCCAAATGTGTATGACTAACTACGTGCAGGCAGAGTAGAGGATTATGTAGAGAGTGATATAACAATGGACCACAGAATCTAAACTAGGTAAAGGAGAAAAAGACACACATGAGATGGATGAGAAAAAGGAGTAGGCTCCAAAATTGTTATTCCCAATGGATGAAGAATTTAGAGTACTGGAAGGAATGAGTGGGAAGGAGAGAAGGTCATGGTTGAAGAATGGGATGCTTGAAATTGGGATTGTGTCGTGGATGCCGTTATGGTAAATATAAGGTCAGAGTTTAACCAAGAGAGTGGACAACCAAAGTAGGGTAGAGGACATGATCGTCGAATAAGAAGTCAGGAGACTGAGAGGCCTGGATATTGAAAAGGTCATCTCTTGCATTGAAATCACCAGATTTATGAAAGATATAGTGTCCTCAGAAGTAATAACGAGCCAGAACAGGTTTAAGCCTTGAGGATGAATGATGTGGAGGCAGGTATGTGGTGGTCTGTAGGCAGTCACAGCTGGGAGTGGTGAGCATGACAGTCAGAACTGGGTCAATGGCTCTTCTGGCCATGATGGAGTAACAGGAACTGGATTTATCCTTCCATCTTAAACTACTCAAAACAGAAAACAAAATCAAGGTATATGAAACAGTGGTTTTCAGACATTGGACAATAGGTAGAGCAGGACAGTGATCCTTACAATTGCTTCACCCAAAGATACGGAGTTCAAACAGAGCCCCACAGTTTCCCTAAGTTGAGGAGACAGTTGAGATGTTTAAGAGGCCACCATAGCTAGAATTCTTGGGGAAGAATACCAGAGAGGAAAAGAGTTCACAGAGAGAGAGTTCTTGATTTGCAGGGAGTTCCTCTTGGGTCTTCAGCTGAGCACTGACTAGCAGTTTACACGTGAAGAAACTACTCAAGTCTGAGAAAAGGACTACCAGAAAGGAGCAGGCAGAACAATTCTCAAAGTTCATGCAAGTCTGGGAATAGTTCCCATTCCCAACAGCCAAAACGGGAATACCTCATAATACATAGGAGGTTGGATTGAATGATCAGAAGGGTGCTGCCTCAGCAGTAATGACTAACAAGCTCTAGACTAAAGGCTGCTCTGGTTCCACCTAATAAAACTTAAAAGTACTCCTTGAAAAAATCAAAAGTAGTTATATCCCAGAACATTGTTCAAAAGGAGTTGAAAAAAATCTATCACCCAATAGGTTAAAATTCAGATTGTCTGACATCCAAATCAGAAGTTACCAAGCATGCAAAGAAACAGGAAAATAGAACATTTCAAAAGGAGAAAAAGCACTCAGAACAGACCAAGAAATGGCACAGATGATAAAATTAATAGACAGGGACATCAAAGCAGCTACTATAAATAGGTATATTACATGTGTTCAAGAAGATAGAAGAAAGCATGTTAAGGAGAGACACAGAAAACATAAAAAAGACCAACGTTAAACTCCTGGAGATGAGGATGTAATCTGGGTCTGAAACCAGAAAAAACATGCTAGATAGGCTTTAATAGCAGATTAAACATTGTAGAAGAAAAGATTAGCAAACTTAAAGATGGAGTGATAAATACTATCTAAAGTGGAACACAGATGAAAAAAATGATTAGAAAAACCCCACAAGTATCAGTGAGCAGTAGTTTTAAGTGGCCTAATATATGTATAATTAGAGTCCCAGATGAAGAGATTGGTTAAGGGAAGAGGGCATGGAGTAAGATGAAGTGGGGTAGGAGGGAGAGATTGAAGAAATAATGCCAGAAAAATTTCGGAATTTGTTGATATCCTTAAACCCAGAAATATAATAATCCTAGTAGAAGAAATAGCATAAACAAAACCACACAGAACAAATTGCAGCCTGAATAAAACTACAGCAAGGCACATCATGATCATACTGCTTCAACCAGAGAAAATCAAAGCATCAAGAGAGAAGAGACTGGGAGTTTTATTTAGAGAGGAGAGAGTAACAGTGATCTGGAAGTGGCTGGGGAAGCAGTGTCCTCAGGGAAGAGGTTTCAGAGGAGTAAAAAGATGAAGACAGTGTTTATGAAAGAGCTTGATAATGGGGGGGGGGGGCGGCGGATTCCACTGATCTGCAGATTCTGAGAGCTCCAGAAGGCACAGTGGAAAGATTTTGGGAGTTCAGACCCTGGCAGAGATGAGGTCAGATTTTAGGATGTGTAAAGCCATATTGGGATAAGGATGACCTGTGAATCTTGGGTCTTTTGTGACTAGTGTAAACAGGAAAAACAGGCACAATGTAATTAGTCCTCATAGTCTCGGAGGCAGATCCAGGTGGCGAGGCTCTGGCTGTGGGGGATAGGGACAAGTGGTCTATACTAGGAGCAATTAGAGCTTATCTTCATTCCAGCTGATGGAGCCTGAGGAGGACAGTTTTACCAGATAAAACTTATTTCCATGCATCCACTGCGGATGTGTTTGTGTGTGTGTGTGTGTGTGGTGGAGTGGGATTGGGTGTTTTGTGGGTTTTTTTTGGCACTCAATTTTGTATCATGATATTTAGACACCAATTGTGGAGGCTGTCTTCCTGTACCCAGTAGGTTTCCAGCAAAGGTGCTATCATCCATTGGAAAGGGGCTTACTGCAAAGTCTGGATGCCATATTTGAGTAGAATTTATTTTTATTATCATATTTAGTTTTCCAAAATTATTCCTGTACCTTTCATCAGATGGTTTTTGCATTCACATCCTAGTACTGTAATCCCTTGGGATTTATTTATGTGATGGTCCTAGATGTCTCCTAAGCATATTTTTCCTGGGGAATTCAGACTTCTTGCCAAAGTCAGTTGCTGTCTTTTGAGTACATGAAACTACAGAGTTCTGCCTTGTCAAAATTCAAATGAGATCAAGAAAGCAAGAAAGCATTCTATTCAAAACTGAGCATAAATTGAGGTGGATTGGATAATATTTGGCAACAATTAAAAATAAGAAAGCCACAAGTTGTGCCTGTAAGATTGCTTTATAGTAATCAGATTTTCACCACTTCTTTATTCTTGAAAGTTTATATCAGCTGTTTTGTGCTAGCTTTGAGCAGTAGTAATAGGAAACCTAGTTATTTGGACCCTAGAGCTATAAACAATGCCCCACTGCCCACTTGGTGGCTATTTACCTTAATTACAAACCAACTAGGAAGAAATAAACATAATGTAGAATGTGAGCCTTATAGACCCAAATTGATAAAATTTTATCCACTATCTCAGGGCACCCAGTATGACCTTATAAGAGCAACAGTTTGCAAGTTTAGGATATTTATGACTATGAATGTACTTTTTATTAATTATACTTTATTTCCTGTGGCTGTAATGTGGTTTTAAAATCTGCGTTGTTAGTAGAAGCAGTAAATGAGCAGTATGTATGCATTACTTGTTCCTGAGCACAATTTTCTATGTTATTCCTTCTGCCAAATTATATTAATCATATTCAGATCATATAAAGCTAACTCAGTTCATGTCACAAATTATCCTCTATGTAGCATGTGTGTGCCTGATCTGAATCTCAAGTTTATTTTCCTTGCTGTGTTTAATCTGCATAATTATAGTTTTGTTGACTTTCAATTTCCTTCAAGCAGAGAAGCCCTTTGGAAACCAAACATTTAACCATCTCCCTTCTGCCAAGAAAAGAAAACTGGGGGAAAAAAAGAGAAAATTTGCATTAAACAGTTTAAGTCTATTCACTGTGAAATGGTTTCAAAGGTGTTGGGTCTGGGAAAAATTGGAAGAAATGTTGCTACTTTTGCCACATACTCCATATGAGCCACCTCTGTGATGTGGCTGCCACAAAACAGTAAGACAGCATTAATTTAGTGCTAAGAAAAGTGCAGCATTCCAACAATAGGAAGACAGAATCTTGTTATATTATTCAGCCACAGCCAGACTGTTGTATCTGGTTTTGGTTACTTTGTTTTTACATTTTATATTTTCTTTTGCTCTGTTATCCACATAACTGACCCTTGGCACATATTTTCAAAATAATTGATCATATTTGGGATACAAAGGGAAGAGCTGTCTGATCCACATTATCTTCTAAAACCCGAAACCATGCTTTCTCCTTTTTTTAAACAACATCATTCTATAAGTTGAAAGCCATTTGATAAATCAACAACATTAAATACTATTATATTAATACTATTGTATTAATAGTCAAAGGGTTCTAATGGGCTATCTCTTAAGACCCTATAACAAATTTGTCCTGATTGTAAGATAAAATAAGTAATTGGCCACTTGTCATTTTTTGAGAAAATTTAAAGCAATAATCTATCATGTAAAAAAAAAACAACTATGGGGGCAGTTTAGAATTTTTTAAATTAACAGCTTGCCTTTGAAAATTGAAAATTTTATATTTGAGATGTAAAACTAAAATATCTTTTAAAATTATTCTCTATATATTTTAGTCTTATATCTGAACAAAGCATTATTAGCCGTTCATTTAAAAAAACTGGAGCTCATAGAAGTTTTTACTCAATCCTTGATGTGATCATTCAGGTTTTCTCTTAAAGTTAAAATCATTTCATTTTCAGCATGTAGAGTTCTCCCTTCCCATGTTGGGAGTTACAGAGAAAGGCCATATTAGAATATAATACCAGTATGATTAAGTAAAAAAAAATCTTTGTTCTTAACATTGACTTACTTGAAGAGAAAATAGAGAATAATCCAGATATTTTTGTTTTCTTTTAGGTCTTCGGATAACTGTGCTTCTGACGTCCTTTCTTATGGTTTTGGGAACTGGTCTAAGGTGCATCCCTGTATCAGACTTAATGCTTAAAAGAAGGTAAATCATGTAAATAACTTAAAATTTTTTTTCCACATTTTTCTGTTATCAGTGTATTATATATGTTTGGTTATAAGCTTTTAGTAAACAGTTCCATTTTTAAAATCAGTAGAGGGTCTTATTTATAGTAGCATTTTTTCCGCTGACATGGTAAATAATTGAGTGTACATTTATTAGTTGTCATATAGAAGATACTGTACTAATTTTTGTGTAAATACATAGAGAATAAGTTAATCTTCATGCTATCCAGGAGCTATAATAATCATGGGAAAATAATAGTAGAACAAAAGGAAGAATAATGTATTAATAGGTAATGCCACAAGAGACAGAGAAGTTTTGGCTGAGGATCTCAGAAACAAGGTTTCATAAAGAAGGTGATGATTAAAGTAGGCATTGAAGGACAAATAGAATTTTGATACCTATAGTTAGGGGAAAGATATTCCGGGGTAGAGGAACAACAAGAACGAAGGCACAGAGGCAGGTTAAGCACAAGTTTCTTCTGGGATGGGTAGGTAGCTTCTTTTCTGTATAGCAGCATTTCTGCACCTGGGGTATATGGATTTATTCTCAGGGGATACAGAGTATATGAAGATTTTAGAACTTTGTTTTCCTTTTGGTTATAGTATTAGAAGATTTTTTAACCAATAATAATCTGTAATTTAAAAAAATATTTTTATTGACCAGGATGTCAGTTTCCTAGTGTTTATCAAACTGGAATCCTTGGATTTGACCTTAAGAGCCATTGATAAAATTTTTCCCATTAACAAAGAGCTGTAAATGACTGACGTTTGGGAGATACTGGTATACAGAAGAAAGCATAAGAAAGCAGTATGTAGAGATGAGTTTAGAAAAGGTTATCCTGATTATGCATGATATTGATGCCATCCCTTAGAACCACAATTCCTCACTGGACAGTTGGGAGCCACTTAGGTTCCTAATCTGAGCAGCAATAGGATCAGACCTATATTAGGTAAACTATTGATTTGAAGACTGTAGGATTGAACTGTAGGATTGATTACAGAGGGTTAAGAGTACCAGCAGGAGACAAGGAAGGATGCAGTGTGAGAGCCCAAGCTGGAGTCATCCTTTTGTTTCATTTGTTTATTCACTTATTAGTTCATTTATTCAACTAAATTCACTGAACTCCTCCTGTGTGCCAAGCTCTTTTCTGCACATGGGGAATGCAGCAGAAAACACAGTAGGAAAATCTCTGCCTTGTGCAGTTTACATTCCAGTTGGGAAGACGGCAATAAACTAGATAAGTAAGTTAAATGTATAGTATGTGCTGTGGAAAAAAAATAGGAAAGAAGGATTTGAAATAGGAAAGAAGTGAAAGGATGGTGAAATTTCAGGGGAAAATGGGCAAAAAACCTGTTACTAGGAAGATACCTTTTGAGGGTAAAGCCTGGAGGAATGAATGGATGGATGATGTGTTATGTAAGGGGCAAGCATTCCAGGCAGAGAGAACAGCAAGTATACAGGATGGGAAGAGAAGAGCAAACCTGGCAGGAAGCCTGGCAGGGCTGGAGCCAAACCAGAGACTTTATGGGAAGAGGGTTGGGAAATGAGACCAGTCATGGGTGGTGATGGGAGTGTGAGACCAGGTCCTTCAAGACCTCGTAAGGACTTCAACTTTTTTCAAGCTAGAAAATCATTGGCAGCTCTGAGCCGAAGAGAACCATGATCACAGGCTGCTTTATTGAGGATGCAGGAGTGAGAAGACCAGGGAGGGAATCAGTGCAATAAACCACATGAGAGATGATGCTGACTTGAGCCATAGTGGTGGCAGTGGTGGTGGTGAGGAGTGGTCAAATCTGATTATGTTTTGAAGGACTTGCTAATGGACTGAATAAAGGGAATAACAGAAAGTGAGGAGTCCAGAATGACTGTCTTACCCTGAGAAGTTGTGGGAATGGAAAGGATAGCATAGGTGTCAGAGAGAACATGTGAGAAAGACATCAGAGATGATATGACTGAGGTTGCACTTTGGAGACTCTGACATTGTTGATTCCATTAACAGACACACAGGACCCAGGAGGAGAAGGAGTAGATTTTAGGTACAAGATGTTGACTTTTATTTGGAACAGAATTTTTCCTTTTCAAAATAAATGCTGTTCATTTTCAGATTTTCAAAATATGTTATCTTTCCAGAAAATTGAGAGTATAAGTGTTTCATATTTTTAAAGGCAGATATCATTTGGGTTCCTGTGGAATGCTGGTCTTCATGTCCTATCCTTCTGAGTGAGATTTTAATAGATGAGTTTCATTGTGTTTGAAATGTTCTTAATTTTTCAAATATACAGTTTTTGTTTTTAAAGCATCTACAGTTTTTAAGTACAAATTTCAGTATAAGCTGAAATTCAATAGTGCATTCTTTACAAATGCTTCCTAGTATTTCTGGTAGCTTTTCTTCTGTTTTGGGCCATCTATTCTACTGCTTCTCTCTAGTTTTATATCCCTTCATATCCTTTCCAGATATAAAATTATAGGACTAACAAAGAGTTGACTCTGTGGTGGAGAAAATGGTATGAAAAATAAGTAGAGCTCATAAAGAAATGTAAACAAAGAAAGGAAAAAGAAGAAAGAAAGAATTCTGAGAGATTGAACCTTTCATAAAAAGAAAGTATAAATTGAATTTTCCATCCTTTGTGTGTTCACCTATCATATAAGGAATATGGGAATATTATCCCCTTGAAATGAGACTTCATTTATGTCCATGCAATATTTCTTTAGAGCAATATTATTAACAACTGTTACAATGTTAATTATTAACAGCTGTTACAATGAAAATGCTACAGTTAGAATGCTTATTTTTGACTAGAAGCCTCATTAGATTACCACTTTTAAGCTTAAGACTCCCATTTGATACTGAACCAGAAGGAATAAAGACCTTCTGTGCATTTAGCCAGCACTGAAACAAGTATTTAGCGATCTGTTTCTGTACCCCTGTTTCACTAGAAGCTTTTTGAGCTTCTGACCCAGCCTCCTGAATAGTGACCCTGTACCTTTTACTTCCTGTAGCTTAGCTTTTATGAGTCTTAAGACATGAGAGAAGCAGCTTTCTGATAAGCCCTTTCTTCAATTACAACTATTAATACCACCTTCCTAATGGTGTTTTATCTCTTCATAGTATCAGTATTTCTTTTATCTACATAGTACCAATGAAAATTGAAGAAAAATTATTTTGCCACTTTTCTCTTATTAACACCACAAATAAATAAGGAACTTAGAATAATGAACTATAAAGCATTTCTTCTATGATTGGGAAGCAAATTATAAAAAAATACTAGATGGCATTACTGTATAGTGTTAAATGAAATATGGCATGCATAGTAAACAATTTACAGACTTCTAGAAGGTGAACTTATAGTAGGTTATATCTGCTTTTAATCATAGGTGTATCCAGTAATTTCCATGATATATTCTCTTTCAAATCAATGTAATTTTTATTAATATTAATAATAGATTACTAGCATATGATAAATAGTTAAATAGTATGGTTCTAGTAAACGTAGATTTTCTAGAAATATACTCCATTGTGAAATGCTTTGTAGCTGACAATCTTAAATTTAAAGTGATCATTGCAGAAAAAAATGAGTTGTTTAGTAATGGTTTTATGATAACTGCTTAGCTATCTGAAAAAGAATGAGGAAGAGCCCTATATCTGTCCTTACCACTTAAGTAAATTCCAGTTGGATCAACCATTTAAGTATAAAATATGAACCTTAGAAATATTAGAATATGAGACTAATTTTAAATAATCTTAGAATGGCAAAGGCCTTCCAACTAAGACACAAATCTCAGAAGCCATAGAAAAGTATAATACTTTTGACTATGTAAAAGTTTAGTATATCTGCATGATTAAATATACTATAAAAATACACACACGTATATATATACTATAAAACAAAGTCAAAAGAAAAGTTAAAAACTGTGAAATGTTTGCAACAATAAGACAAAGGGATAATTTCCTTAGTTGAAAAGAACTCTGTCAAATCAATAAGAAAAATAGCAAGGCAGTAAGAAAATGAGTGGTAGATATGAGGAAGTAATTACAGAAATTAAAATACAAATCTTAAGAAAAGATATTCAACAACTTCATCATAGTTAAAGAAAAATGGAAAAGCAATTATGTATCTGTTATTGGCAAAGATGAAAAAGTATGATAATGTGCTGTGTTGCCTGAGGTATAGGGGAAAAACAGGTGTTACAAGTAATTTGGAGAATTCTATTTAGAGGGCATTTTTACAGTATTTATTAAATTAAAAATGTACATGTCCTTTAACCCAGTAGTTGTCCTTCTAGAAAATTAGCCCACATATAAAGTTATATCATTTTGGAAGGACAGTCATGTTTGTATGGTTTTGCTTGTAATAGCAAAAGGCTGATTACAACCCAAATGTCTTCAGCAGAGGGGTAGTGATGATGAAGTATACAGTGAAATAGTATGTAGCTGTGAAAAGGGAGTAAAAGTTCTGTTAAGTGCTGATTTGGAAATATCTCCAAGATATATTGTTGAGTTTTAGAAAAGACTAAGTTTATAGTATTATGTTTAATATATTCCTACTTAGAAAAAAAGTGGGAGGGATGTATTTGGCAAGGACTGTTGCTGAAAGAAACCATTACCGTTGGTTGATTTTGAGGAGGAAGCCTGGAAACCTAGAAGTCTGGGGTGGAAAGGAGATTTACTTTTTATTTTTATACTCTTAACTCTGCTTGAGAATATCTTTACCATGTGCTAATATCACATTTTGGAGTGAAAACACTAATTAAGAGAATCTAAAATGATCATATCAGATCTTCAATAATGAGAGTAAGAGAAAGAAAGATAAGAGACTGCTTTTCTGAGTGTGAAAACAATGAAAGAAATCACAAGGGAAAGATGTGTAGATTTGACTACATAAACCCTGAACCCTCATGCTTCTAAGATAAATCATAAAATTAAAATACAAAGTAGCAAAAATATGTGTTGTAAATATATCTAACCTAAAATAATATTA